CTGCCTGATTAGGCTAAGTAGCTTGATCACTTCTGCTTTGCTTACAGCCTCGTTGTGTCAATAAGTTGTCTTCTAGGTCGAGGAAGCTAATATCAGGTCTAGTATCTTCGGACTATCTCGGAGTCCCAACTCGACTTGATGTCGTTTTTCATTCACACGAGTTGGTTTCGAGTTGTCTGAACCACAACGTATGGTATTGAGTTAAACAGATCTAGTTCGATCTCCGAGCTGTGTTCATTCAACCAAGTTGCCTTCGAGCTATCTGAGGTCCGACGATTGGTATAATATTCACTATCGCATTAATTCACAAAGTTGCCTCATAAATAAGAAAATGAGGTTGGAGCAATGACACGGTACCATTCGGGTAAATTAAGTCTACGGAGCTATTAGAAATTGGAATGAACATAATTAGAAGTCATTGCTACATATTTAAGCTAAATGGGTTTAATTTGTTTAAAATACCTTGTTTAATACAAATATCATTTTTTTCGAGTAAAAAAAAAAACATTTTAAAGAATGTCAATGGTGGATTCCTTGTTTGTATGTCTAATTGCTGTCAATTATATTTATCTATTTATTTTGTGCTGTTTATTTGCAATCAACGTAAATTTTAATTTAAAGTTGTAGACACTATCTTGTGGATGTGTAATTGATATAAAACAAATGACTCTACTAAATTCAAATATATTAAAAATGGACTAATATATGCTATTTAATTGAAATTACAATCTTTCAGATTTTTGGTTCATGATTCCACGGAATCAATTGCATTTCGTTTTTCATTATAATTGACAAATACCGGTTAGTTTAGGGGAAAATTAAATTGTCAAACTTATGATAACTCCCTTTAGTATTAAATTCTGAAAACTATATCTTTGTAATTCTTTTGCTTATGGTGTTCCTATTTTTTTTTCCCAGATTAGGCTTTTTGTAATCTACTAATCTTACTTTATTAAATAAGCATGAAGAATTTTTTCCAAACCTTCCCAAGAGAGTCAATATATTTTGTCGACAAGCAACTTAAAGAAACACGAAAAAAAAAAA